CTTAAATTGACCAATGCAAGAAGTGAGGGAGCATCAATGTGACCATACACTAGTTTTTTCAAAAACTCTATATTGGTGTTAACTCGCCTGTCTGCCAATGAGATGAGACCTAGTTCTTGCATAACTATAGAGTAGTCATGGGGAGGATGTTTATTTTTAATGTAAAAGCTGCACAGGATAGGAATCGTCTCTGAACACGTTCTAATTGACAGGAGTCCGCTATCGTATAAGGGGCTGTGGGTGAGTTGCGGCCCGGCGTGTCGTTTCGGGTGTTGGAGACCGGTGAATTCCTGCCCGATAATATTTTAGCCGTAGGTTAGTTGCGGCCCGAGTAATTATCATTACCTATGTACCTATTGGCTAGTAACTATATGTACAATGTATCTGTCAGATGCGGTGTTGGCTATATACACATATAGTGATAAACGAATAACAATAAAGGAATTGTTTGATACGTATGGCAAGTTATATCTGTTAGAAAACACTAAATTATCTCAATAAAGTTGAACAACAAGTTTTAGCTAAAGAAAACAATATTATTTATTATAACTATCATTTACAATACTTAGGGTTTAGACTCAGACTCAGACTCAGACGCATACTCACTCGGTGCATGTCGCAGCTACACTACTCATCACTCCCTCAGTGCTGTGCCTGAACTTAACCCTCAGAACACACACAGTGTTGCCAACATTCGGCCATCCTTTGAGTCAGCGTCCTCGCTGAGTTCTACATGTAATAATAATTTTTTTTTTTTTTTTACAAATATATAGCAACATATAATAATTATCTTATGACTATCAGCTTATTCATTAACATTCTCAGTCATTAATTCAAAATAATAATAATTATAGATATTTAAACAAGTATAAGTACAAAATTATGGTATTTTTTTTTTTTTTATAAACAAAATATATTTTTTTGTTATTTTTTTTTAAACATAATCTTCCATCCATTTAGGCGGTTTCCTCGCTCTAGTCCTGGTTGGTGACTCTGGTTTGACTGCATCCGTTTCCTGTTGTCTCTGGTCTTCAGTTTCAGTTCCCTCTTCTCCTTCCTGACTGGTATTGTCAACTTCTTCTCCTATATCATCTGAATCTGGTCCCAGTTTGTACCCTTTCATGTGTGTTGCATGTACAGTTGTCCTGTATTGCCGTCCGTCTTTAACTATAACATCAGTTATCTGATATGTATCATTGGGTAGCACTTTACTGACTACAAACGGTCCTCTATACTTTGGCTGCAGTTTGGTTGGTTCTCCGGTGTGTTTGGGTGGTGTTCTCAGAAAAATCACTTCCCCTACTTTATATTGGGCTGGTGTAATGTGTTTGGCATCATATCTGGTCTTCCATACTCTTTGTTCCTTTTCAATTGTTTCTCTGGCCTTTTCTTGCAGTTTAGTTACATCCGTTGGTTGTTCCTCAGTTACTAAATGTCTTAGTATTCCATCATGGAAACTTGGATAATATCCGTGTAACAATCGAAATGGTGTTTCCCCTGTGGTTTTATTCTGCACATTGTTGAGTTGACTCTCCACCTCAAGTATATTCTTATCCCATGTATTATCGTTCTGCATATTTGCTTGCAATACTGGTACTAATGTTGAGTTAACCCGCTCAACCTGTCCGTTAGACTGAGGATGTCGTAAGGATGTTAGTATGTGATTTATGCCTTTACTCATACAGAATTCGCCGAATTGTCGGGCTGTAAAAGCTGTTCCTCGGTCACTGATGACTTTCTTAGGTACTCCATAGGTTAATATGAACTGTTGTAAACTTCTTATGACTGCTTCAGCATTACAAGCTCGCACTGGGTATAACTTGACATATTTGGTCAAATTGTCCACTAAAACTAGTATGTAATTTTTCCCTGCAGTTGATCGTACAAAGGGTCCTATGTGATCTAAATGTATCACCTCAAATGGTCTTCTTCCAGGCGGTATCGGATGGAGTTCTCCCTGTGGTCGGCCTCTTGGTATTTTAGTTAGTATACACTCTGGGCAGCATCTGATATGAACTCGCACATAACTCCTCATTCGGGCAAAGTAGTACCGCTCCAAGATCTTCGCAACCGTTCGGTCAAGTGCGAAATGTCCAGCCATGTCATGATTCTGCACCACTATACTCTTCCGCATTGCGTTTGGAACAACCCATAGTTGGCGTTCTTCTCCTTGAATCCTGACTCTTTTATACACTATGCCCTGACGCATGACATAATCCCTAACTTCACGTTGTTCATTTAATGATCGCTCTTCAGTTGATTTTGTCATTATTTTGATTAGTGAACATATGTTTTCATCACTTCTTTGCATTGTTATTATGTGTTCCTCTGCAGTCATTGTTATCATGATCTCTATTCTCTAGCTCTTCAAGTTCTACTTCAGTGTCTGTTGATGTATTCACGGGAGCTCTAGACAAAGCATCTGCGTGGGCCATCTTAATCCCTGGTCTGTGACGTATCTCATAGTTGTATTCACTTAGCAAGTTTGCCCATCGAGATACTTGTGGATTTACTGTTTTCTTAGTGTTGAGATGCACTATAGCCTGACAATCTGTCACTATGATGAACTGCATTCCTATCAGTAGATGTCATAAACGGGTGACGCTCCAAACTATTGCCATGAGTTCTAGTTTTCCCGCATGATAGTTTCTTTCTGCTGTGGTGGTTTTCTTAGACACAGCATAGACTAAATGTAGTAACTTGTCTTCGTTCCTTCGCTGTAGTAGTAGTCCACTCAACCCTTGTTGACTGGCATCACAATGTAATTCCGTATAAGCATTTGGGTTAAATAATTGTAAGACTGGATTACTGGTAAGTTTTGCCTTTAGTGTGTCAAATGCTTCCTGTTGCGAATGTCCCCATTAGAATGGTACTGCATTTTTGGTCAGCTCGGTCAGTGGTTTGGCTATTTGCGCATACTGTGGCACAAATCTTCTGAAGAATCCGGTCAAACCCAAGAATCGTCTCACTTCATGTCGATTGGTTGGGTGTTCTATTTTCAGTATGGCTGCTGCTTTGTCTTCTCCTGGTTTGATTCTTAAAGAGCGCGTATCACCAAATCGGAAATTTATTACTTACGCCGACATTCACAACGGGCGCAATACTGCACATTTTACGGACGCAATATATTGGCTATCCGACAGTCGGCTGGCCCTACGTTCATAGTACTGACCACAACTTTTTGACAGTACTAAACCAGTACTGAAATACTGTACTGGCAGTCAAGTGCTGATCTAGTACTGGCATAATACGGGTCCTGACTCCTGATGGATATGTTAGCAAAGGCCAGCTAATGTTTGCCGTATTTGTGTATGCGTCGGCAGAATACTGGCATTATACGGGCCTGTTTAAAATTTTAAAAACCTAACCTTAGATACTTTGTGATTTTATTTAATTGTTTTTAAAACAGTATTTTGTATTGACTTTGTGTCAGTGTATCAAAGGTATATGATATAACAATTTTTTGATGTATAATAAATTAGGTTAAAAGTGATTTGTACAATTGTACTACATTTGTTTTATTTGAATGTATCAAATACCATCAATATTCAATATATTATTATCTACTAGTGGATAACCGTGGTTATTACCTATTATTATTTATTTTTGTATTAGCTATGAAGTTGTACAAATTATAATATTATAATATTATAATGTAATATTATAATATTTGTAGCCAGTAGGTATTCTACAATTATACATATATACAATTATTCAACATTCAGTTTCTTCGAGATAACAGTTTAATATCCAATATTTTATTGTATTGTTTATTATAACATTATAACTATATTATAAATATAGAAATATGTTGTTGTTGAACAACCAATTTTCGGGGAAAACCCTATAACGACTTGATGCCCCCGTTGTACGTCGCACTTCCCATGTATTATCTTGCGGTCATGGCTCGGCGACGTTCGTCGGTCGGCGGTCGCACACTCCTTATGGCACACTCACACACTCACACACTAGCACACTCGCACGACATACATGGATACACGACACACACATAGGTACGTACAACTTTCAGTACATTTTGCCTGTACTGTCTTCTGTCTAATGTAATGTCTATTATTTACCCTATTCGGCCTATAATTCAGTCTATTCTACCGTCTAAGTGCAATTGAGTATTGACAATGGTGTAATGTATAATATTAAATTATTATAAATTGTAATGTGTATTGTGTCGTGGGTTTTTGAAGTTCCATCTGCCTAGTACCATCTACCTACGAACGTGCCGACGTACATCAGTAAAGTTCAGTTACAGTTTTCGGTTAGTACCTAACTAACTACATTTTTTAAATATTATCTTGCTCATTATTGTTATTAATACTATAAATTGTAATTACTTATTTCGTACTAAAACTAACTCTATCTGCATGAATCAAAACTAAAGGAACAATATAAAAGTAATAAGTTTTATCATGTTATATAACATGTTATAAACAAATACCTAGATGTTACATTTTGTATTACACAATTGTCATATTGCTAATTCAAAGTAATTGGACGTATACTTGTATAATATAGTGTTGGGTCAGTGTGGTAAATATTCACTTATTTATCATTATTACCATATAGAATATATTCTAAAATCAATGTTATTACTATACTAGCTGACCCGACACGGTGTTGCGCGTGTGTTAGTTTCCCTTTTGGCATTTTCATAGGCCGTGTTTAGTGTTTAATTTAATTGTATTGATGGTACTAATATTACGTGGAATTCACAATTTAATTGTTTGTGTGTGTGTGTGTTAATTGTTATAGCACTATTAGATTCATTGGTAACATTTATTTATAGGATGTGAATGTTGTTATTATTTTTTTATTATTATTATAGCACCTCCTTATAAACTACATTGGTTGTTCTTCCGTTTGGGGCAAGAATGACTAAGCTTGTAGGGGAACTAACTCTGGAGCATGCCACATAAAATTGCCCATGTGTAAAGCAGTCATCACTCAAGTCAATCCCTGCTATCTTCAACGACTGCCCTTGAGACTTATTTATAGTCATTGCAAAAGATACCTTGATAGGAAACTGCATGTCTTTTAAATTCGAATGGATAGTTTGATGATAAAAGTGGTATACGTGGTATAAACGTTGATTCTCCTTGAGCACAACCTGTAATTATTGTTGCCTCAATTACATTGTTTTGGAGTGCTTTCACGCACAGTCGAGTACCATTGCAGAGTTTGGGTGGGTGGAGATTTCGCAACAGCATAATTGGAGCTCCTACTTTAAGGACTAACTTATGTGCTGGAAAGCCAGGGGGATAAAGTGCGTTGAGGAACTCCACAGGATAGTGAACTGCGTCATCTGTCTCCAGTACCGTGTCTATAGACTTATACTCCATTTCTGTTCCCTTAAATGATTTAAGAAGAATTTCATTAATCACAACTGCACTGTCATTTTTAGGGGTCAAAATAGCGCGCTCACATAACCAATCCATCGATTTGTTTTTTATATCGGAAATATCAGGATAAATTTGAACTATAAGTTCTTGTAGTGTTGTCACTACTAAACCTAAATCCTTAGTGATAACCAACTACCCAGCTAACTCGGGAAAATCTCCATTTCTAATTTTGAGTAGAAGTTCAGAGAATTTTCCAGCTGTGACATCACCTCCCAGGTGGACCCTCATATTCTTTTTGAGAGAAAGTTGTTCTATTAACGGCCATAAATAAGAAGCTTTAATGCATGCTTTAGCTTCATCTGCTCGACTTCCTCTTGGTATAACTGGTAGAGTTTGCCTAAAGTCTCCAGTTAAAAGAACAATTGCTCCTCCCTTCACTTCATTTTTATTTCTTATATCTTTAAGAGATCTATCAAGTGCCTCAAAACCTCTTATATGCGCCATAGTGCTTTCATCCCAAACAATAAATTTACATTTGCGAAACACTTTGGCTATATTACTTTGTTTTGGTATATTATATTATATTGTTTTGGCGTTTCTATGTTAACGAGATCGAGAGGAAGTTTGAATGCTGAGTGGGCCGTCCTCCCCCCCTCCAAAAGCGTAGCCAGAAGATGCAACAGCCAAAGCAATACTACGATTGCTCCTTACTTTTGTCAAAAGCAAGTTTATAAGAAAAGTTTTTCCTGTTCCTGCAGGAGCATTTAAGAAAAAAAATTTTCCAGTATCAGATTTAATGCTGTACATTATCCGACTATAGACATTGAATTACTCGTTCGTCAGTAAGGCCTCGTTGCTCACTACTACCTTTGTTAAGGTATTTAGGTCGTAGTTTATCTCTCTCTGATAGACTATGTTTTCAAAGTTATTTTCTGTCCTTACTGGCTGAGGTAGCCCATAATTTGATATACTCTGACCTAATACAGCAAGCACTGCATCTTCAATTTGAATCAAACATTTGTTGTAAGCCTCATCTTTTTGGTCAGCATCCATTTGTGATTCCAAGATTGTTTTTATGTGTATCCCAAAGAGTTAAGGGATCCGATACTTGACAAAATACTAACATTACTGTAAATAGTTCGCGCAGCTTGGAAGGAAAATCACTCAAAGAAGCTTCATTTAACGTATTGTTCCAGTGATTATCATCTTCAAGCAGACCTAACACATTACAGACAGATTGGAATGTATTATGGAGGATACCATTAACAGTCTTTAGGTCTGAAAAAGATGTTGGTCCTCTAATTACATGAAGCAGCATACGAAGATAGTAGCATTCAGTATTGTGTGGACGGATAGTATACACTCTTCCTAATGCATCGTCCTTCTTTACGGTCGGCCAGCCATCTACATTCCTTCCTTGCTTCCTTCTTTGAAACTTATTATTCTTAAATACAAAGTAAGAAGGCACTTCCGAATAAAGGAGGGTTTTTGGGAAAACGTCAGATTTGCATAACTCAAAAAAAGCTAAAAGGGTAGTCTTAGTGGGATTATTGAGCTTCTCTGCCAAGTTATTAGGGGTGAAGTATACTCGCTGACCATTCTCAAGGTGGATGGCTAGATGAAAAACCGTAGGATATCGTTCATGAATGGAAAATGATAATATTCTCCATACTGCTTCGGCACTGCTGATCTACCTACCACTTTCGTACATTGTAATCTCATCCTTCTGGTTTTCTATGGTAAACGCTGCTTGGTCACTGCCCTTGTTTAAATACTTACAGATGTACTTAATACACTTAACAGAATGACACATCTATACATTGATATGACAATTGAAAGTACGTAATAAGACTGGGTTGTAAGGCACAACCCAATGGTTGTCTAAATCAAGTCCTTTAATTCTTACAGTGAAACCACCGTCATTTGTAGACCTCCTCTTGTATGGGTATCCATCGTCTCCTGTCTGTGTTTCTCGGCAAAGTTTTCTAGGGTATCTTCTACTGCATGTATTTTCTTTCATGCAAGGAGCGTTAGGGTTTAAGCTGCCGCAGGGACCATGAATCATGTTACTTTTGACGATGTCATATTGTATTATGTGTACTGTATTTCCCTTTTTAAACTACTATTACTAGGCAACAAAGACAATGGTTAATTAGACAAATAAAGTAAAACCAGGTTGTTAATAAATCAAATATCAGTGGACTGTATTAAGTATATAACAGCACATCACAAACATGAACAAATGATAATCATGGTACAAATATTATAATACTGGGAGTAGGCGCCCAACTACTATATAAAACAAATGTAGTTTGATAATAATACTAAAGGAACGGAACCTTAATCCGTGATATTACGAATATACTAACAATAAATAACAATATTTATGATAATACAAAAAATGATAATACAAAATGATAATACAAAATGATACAAAATGATAAAGATATCGCGTATCACGCATATGCTACGCGTTACCGTCAGAGTGCCGCCAACCGAACCATAACCTCCAAATGTTGAAGTGTGTGAAAACCTTGAACTGCTCCCGCAATCCCGCGATCCACGTGCAGCTGCTGGTTGGCCCACAATGTCTTATTCGGCACCAAATTGGGAGGCCCGATGCACTCACCTTCGCACCCGCGCGGGATATAAAATAAATGAAAGAATCATAAACAACTCGTGCCCGGTGCACCAGAAACCAACACGAAGCTACACACCGCCCGCGCAGGTGTAGACCATGTTATCCTATTGACGGGTGCACCCAAAGACAAATCACGTGAAGTCGATTGACCAAATATTATATTGTACGCACACGACCCGCTGTAGGCACCATAATCGCACGATACATCGACGACCGAATTCGCCCCGTGACGTGCCACCGATGGCAAAAGAACAAAGAAAAAGTACGACGACCGGTATCGGGGATCGTGACCACGCGCGCAAAATAGCAGACTGAGCAGGAGACACAGCGCGAACGGGGCACAGATGCGACGGCGCAGGCGCGCTCGCAACCGGGTTACATTAATTATATTTTGACAATTAGCTGGCGCAATCTGCCGTTGTCTGTTCCGAACACATATAAAAGAGGATCTTGCTCGGGGTCTGGTATTTCGGCACTGATGACATTATCAATTATGTTTGATGAAATTCGATTCTAGAGCCACAGTAAGATGTGAACGTGAGGCAATCCTCGCTTTTACCACTCCACAGAATTCCTATAGCACCGTACATCACCAAATAATTTTCCTTTAGTCAAGAGTGCCATTAATTTCTTTACTTTAATATGAAATACACTCGCTATAATGTCATGACGATTGTGCGGCTTTTGTCCAGAAAACAGTGCATCTATGATGTCTTTCCAAGTAGGGTTACATGTAAATGTGATGAATAGAGCAGGGCGACCATGTACGTGGACATATGTCATGGCATCTTGAGTTCGTTCATGCATACACCTAGGTCAGCTCGTAAATGATGAAGGAAGTACTACCATTTGACCTAGATCAGTTGCATTAACATAATTCCTCCCCACAGCATCTTTGAGATGAATATAGTTCTCAGCTCTTATCTGTTTCTGATGATTCCTAATAAAATTCAACCTTTCAGTTTCAATTTTTGCGTATATATCGACCAGAAATTTACTGAAAAGGGAGCGGAAGTATACAATATGGTTAACTTCATCTTGCCTAATCATAATTCGGTAAGCATAAAAGAATGCCGCTGAAACTTTTTTTTCAAGAGTCAATTTCGTAGTGGGATTACACAATGGTATGTCAATAGAGTATCCGTCCTCATCATGGCAAAACATAAGTGGATACTGCAGAGCGTCGTATGCTCGATGAATTTCACTGATACGCTGTAGTTTATTATCGTGACTTTGAAGTACGATGTCTCTATTTTCAAATTACTGACCTACAATTATCAGAGCTATTTCATTTTGTGTTGGTGCGTTAAAGCGACCAACATAAGCATTAGTGGGTTTTCTGTCTGCACGGATGACCACTTTAAATTCTTTACAGTTATTATGCACCGCATTAATCGTGGTCTTAAATTGTTTGACATAACTGTTTTTTTCATGGAGCATGCTTTGCAATTGTTTGACCAACCCTGGTTTGACGTCAGAAAAATTGGCGCACCTTGAGCGTATTTCCTTCTCATCGTCACCTACAAAATAAATTTGTAAAAATTTGGCATTCTGATCAGGTTTATGCATGAGACTCCCTACCAAATGATACACCTGACCTTGAACTTTGAAAGTAGGCATAAATCCTTCTGTTAAATATTTTTAGCTCCAAATGAGGTCATTTGAAAACACTCATTGTATTTTCGTATAAGGTCCGTAAAATGATTATGATGGGGGTGTCTGTTGAGAGGTTCCGGCAAATGTTCAAAAGATGGAAGCTGCACTTTGCCGTTATTGCAGCACATTCCGGTGGTTTCTTCTTTCCATTTTAGAGCATTGCAGTATTTGCACTTGTGGTTCATAGAACCAAGAGCTATAGTTTTTTCTGCCTCATAAGCTAGGTCAGGATTGTACGTCATTCCTGAGTTGACCATTATTTTCCATGGAAGTGTCAGTCTTTCAACTTTAAGGCGAGGATTAGTATACTCATATCGAGAACTAGCAGCTCTGCCTACCTCAGGATTATCTAGCTGGTACCTGGCAACTGCAGATCTGTTCACTAAAGGATTACGAAGTGCATATGTCTTTGCCACGTTTTGAAGTTGTTTTTTTCTTATATTGCCAGTGTATCTGGCACGGCGTTTTCTACCCTTCTTCAGGGATAAAGAGGAAGGTGATTGCTGTAATGTGGAGTCTCTCTGAGGGGTCAATATTTCTGACTCATTAGGCAGGTAGACATCAAAATGGCCCCTAGAGAGATTTTGCGTAAAACGCATCCTCAACACAGGGTAACCTTCAATACTAAAACGCTCATGGAGCTGATAATTGCGGTAAACTTCAAAACGTAGTGGAACAATTGTCTAGCGGCCACTAATTCACATAAACCACCATAATTATATAATTGAGATATGTCAGCAAAATACTCTGCGGAACTCATATAGTTGTCCCCATTGTTGTCGTGAGACATGATAGAAAA